GAGAGGGCCTGTTTGATGATGGCATCTATCTCTGGTGTTAGATTCTTGTTTTCCCCAGTAAGGGTGGCAATGTCAATTGTCCGATGGCTTGGGTTGGTGTTGGTCTTTACATACCCAAGATCGATCGTGTCGGTCATCTTCTCCCTGCTAACCATGAGTCGTGAGCAATGGAAGATCTTGTGGTCCACGGTCTCATTGGCAAGTCCACAGTCGCAGAGGGGACTATCGCTTGCCCTGATCTTGAACATGTGGTCATTCAGTTTTGTATGTCCAGTTCTTATCCGGTTGAGCTTAGTTTCCGTTCTGCGGTTGGTGAGGCTGCGAACGCTGCTTACGTTTACCTTTGGCTCCAGACGATGAAAATACCTGCCTGTTTCAGAGCTGTCCCATGAACCCTACCATCGCTCTACCAAGCTTTCTTGATTTCTCCTTTGGCTTCGGAGAAGGAAAGCGGAGAGTGGTCTTAATTCAGATTCAACCATTTCTGCGGCCTCGATGGTTGCCCGTTTCGCTTCTTCGTCTACAAGTTCGCTTGCAGCCAGGCCTGCATGTCCTGCTACCCAGCAAATGTCGATCTTGATGTTATTTGTGTATAGCTGCTTAACTTGTTCTTGGATGTTCGAGGTAATAGTTGTGAAATTGTTGTTTTGTTGGGGGGCCGTGACAGTGAGAATGGCGCTTTCGCAGTCCGAGAAGATTCTGAGTTTTGATATGGTGTGGAGCGCAGAGTAGTTGACTGCGAAGTCCATTGCAAGGAATATTGCCTGAAGTTCTCTGTGATAGCTGCTGCTTTTACACGAGACTGCCTTTCGGATGGCGATGGCTTGGCTGTTGATGCCATTTGCGTAGACGATGGCTGCTGCCCCACAGGGTCCAGGATTCCCCTAAAGCTGATCCTTCAGTCAAGGCGATTATGGTATTTTCGTCAGTCTCCCTCAGCTCTTCCTTGCCTTTTCAGCTTGGGTGGTTGATCTGTTCTTGCTGTTACCGAGCGTGTGCCATGGTTACCATCGTCGCATTAAGCGTGTCCAAGCTATATAAGTATATTGTGGTTCCGGTGAGTTTTTGCATAGGGAGTTGACAGCCATTCTGATGTGGTGTAAAGGGGTTAGCGTTCGGTTATCCATAAGGACTTGGTTATCCAGGTTGTGTAGTACCATGCAGCGGAGAGGGTTGTCGTGGGTCTTCCTCAGGATGCGAATAAATTCGTGAGCCAAGATTTCCTGAAAGCGGAGTCTCAGCGGTGGTACATGCGTGAGCACTTCTAGGGCCGACGCTGGTGTTGAGTTGATGGTGCCAGAGGCTCTCAGTAGGGCTATGCGTTGCACTCTGTAAATTTTCCGGAGTTGTGCCTCGGACGCGCAACACCAGATAGGGTACGCGTATTCCAGATGAGGTCTGACGCATGCCTTGTAGAGTGCGATCCCGATCTCCATTTTCATTCCGCCTATGTCCGCCATGAGCGCGCTAATTCTTGCCAGGGCTCCGAACGCTTTCTTGGCTGTTTTGTCAGTGTGTTCTTGGAACGTCAGGTGCTGATCCAAGGTGACTCCCAGGCATACCTTGGAGCTGACCTACCGGAGTGTTTTCCCTTCCACTGTGATGTTCACTGGAGTGTTCCCTTCGTTACTGAAGCAGATCACTTCCGTCTTGCTTAGGTTGATCTTAAGGCGCCATTTCTTGTTCCATTCCGTGAGACTGCGAACTTGGTTCTTCATCTGTCTCTCTGCGACACTGATGTCGATGTTCCGCCTCTAGTCGAAGAGGTCGTCAGCGTAGCCAATCTTTTTCGGGATGTTGCTTGTCATATCCTTAATGAAGATGATAAACAGGATGGGGGAGATTACCGATCCCTGTGGGACACCTAGCTTCGTCTTGATCCATTCAGACTGGTATGTGTTTACCAGGTTGCGCGCAGTTCTTCCAGTGAGGTAGTTTGCTATGTAAAGGAGAAGCCTGCCGTTGATACCGATGTCTGCCAGTTTGTATACGACCGCTTCTCACCATACGCTGTCAAAGGCCCCCTCTAGGTCCACAAACGTGGCTACGGTGTGCTCGTTTTTCTTGAAGCCTTCCAGTATATCCATTACCAGGCTTTCATTTTTAAGGGGCGCGATCGCGCCCGCGCTCCACCGCGCACCGGCAATTGTGCCCTGGTGCGTGCATCATTGCACCTCATAAATGTGGTTGAAATATCGCACACGAAAAGTCCCTTACTAGTAATACTGGCAATGCCACCTGTCACAATTATTACAAAGGTTAGCGACACAACAATTTGTGGTGTGTAAGTAACTGAACGTATGACAATTTGTGGTGTGTAAGTAACTGAACGTATGACAGAGGTACAGGTTACTACCCTCTGGTTTATACAACTAGACAACAGCATCCAAATACAGGTACCTACACGGTAGCCACAAGTTACCTGCTCGTTTTCCACTATACGTGGCGAGAAGTGGTTTTCTGCCGACGTGAAACAGTCGTAGGGCTGGAGGGGCTACATACGTGGCTACTACGTACAAATAATTTGGCTAGTGTGTTGATGGATTGTGATGATATTTCGTGCTGAAATATGCAGGTACATGGATTAGAGTCTCTAAGGATGAAGATCAGAATAAATAAAACAAGTTTATTTTTACATCCGATCAACTCTTTTATTAATCTGTGTGCTAGTGTTGGGTTGTTGGATGAAAACAATGTAATCATGACGAAGCCATTGAATGAATGAAGGTGAAGATGAATGATAATTAGTGGATTGACATGACATCCCAATTTTCGTTTTGGATTTCACTCTAGACTGAGGATTGGTCATGATTCCATCATCACATCCCAAGAGGCATGATGGAGAGCCCTCAAGGCGCTCTCCATCATCTCTTTTAAGGGTGTGATTTTTAGATGAGCTCTCCATCATGCCTCTTAAGGGTGTGATTTTTTAGTGGAGCTCGCCATCATGCCTCTTAAGGGTGTGATTTTTTAGTGGAGCTCGCCATCATGCCTCTTAAGGGTGTGGTTATGGAGCGTGAAAAGACCCCCTATGGTGTCCTAGGGGAGTCATTAGTAGTCCTCCTGTACTTTTAAAATCTGAACGCCTGCATTCCAATCAGGAGGATTGCTTGTGAGATTCTGTGGTTGCGTCTGTAGGCAAACTGCATGGGATCCATTAGACCCGAGGATTCTAGGTACCAGACTAGACTAGGCGTTGGCTGACGATACGCTCCATGAGTTTTCCGACCACGCTGGTTAGGCTTAGCGGTCTACTGGCCTTTTCCACATGGTAATCTTCTTTTCCAGGTTTAGGGATTTAGATCCTGCATAACTTGCCATCTTACTGGACTTGTGACCCCTCGACTAAGCGAGACATCTGGGGCGCTACTGAATCCACCGAAAATACGTGTGGGGGTTCCATCGTTGAGTGTGTGGAATCCATGTTGTAATGCAAGTAGTTCCAGCTGCCTGCCCATGCAGGGACCATGCTATACTAACTTTCTGTCCTGTATCCCACTGATCACTCCTCGCGTTGAAATCACCAGTAAGCACTACTGCGGTGGAATTGGGAATTTTGTCGAGGACACTTTCAAGAACTGAAAAGTCTTCTTCATGGCCAGGTGGTATTTATATCGATGCTACCAGCGTTCTCTGGTTACCGATGCACGTCTCGATCCATATTGCCTCGAGGAGATCTGTCTCGAGGTCTTTCCTGCGTTCTACCTTCACTCCTTTGTTTGTCAGAATAGCCACACTGCCTTTGTTGTTGTGTTTCCTGTTCTTCTGATAATGAGTGTCGTTCTTTATTTTCGGGGTATCATCCTTATTCCACGTCTTGGACAGACAGAGTACATCAAATCTGGTTGTTTCTGCGTAGTCTCCTCGATGTAGCGTTTGGAGCTCTGGTGTTAAGCTGGCGAATCTTCATGCTTGAGTTGTACCAAAGAAACACCACTGTGATGATGTATACAGGGGTGACTTGTCTATACGTGCTGGATGGTGGTGCTGCTACAAGATCTATGTACAGATCGATCAACAATCTTGTTCCTGGTGGCAAGATACACTGGGCACTTATTATAGTCTGCGTTGTGACTGGCTTTGCAGTTTGTGCAGCATAGAGTAGCTGTGCATAGGTGTCCTGGATCGTGGTAGCTACTGCAGCTGATGCATGCTGGGGTTTGCCTACAGTTGCGGGCCACGTGCCCGAATATCTGGCAACGGAAGCAGAGTATGATTTTTGTGGCATGTTTTGGTTCACAATGAATAAATTTACCTTGCAATGACAGGCCCTGTGTGATTGTCTGGGTCGCTGTGTCGCTGTTTCCAAACCGTTCACTAACCCATAGCCCTATTCCTAACTGCAATGTAATCATAAAAAAAAGATTAAAAACCGGTGTCCTGAAATGTGATTTAACCCATTCAGCATGATTAATGTGTCTGTGAATGTTATGCCTTATTATATGTTCGTGGCTCTCAAGGGGTAGCTTTAAAAATGAGTGAGATTAATTTTGAATCAGAAAATCTAAGGCCCAAGGCCTTAGCCTTCACGCCGCAGGCGATAAGGGGGGGTGGGTGGAGGGAGGTTTATAGTAGGAATTTTTTTTTTAAATGGGGTGTTATTTGATGCCCTCAGCAGCAATCTGAACATGATATTTGTTGCTTATATAAGCATGAAAAAACTTACAATTTACAAAAATCATAGTGATTGTAACAGTACTAATAATAAAAACTGGATTCTTGCAATTGCGTGAGATTTTCGGGGACTTTTAGAAATGTGCATGAGAGCGTGAGATTGTGCTGAATTGCGTGAGTCTTATGCCAAATGCGTGAGGATTGTGAGCCCTGATATGTTATGCCTTTTATAATATTATGCCTGTGAATAATAAACTTATGAAACCTTGTCTTGATACTTATAGTGATATAGTCCATTTCATTTGCTTTTAAACTATGAATAAACCATTCATATGAGGAGTTGATGACCAAATTGGGAAACTGAACCATTTTGATGTATTTTCTAGGTGGAAGAATTGGCACTGAAGAGTTTGGTGCGGTCAAGGAGTTTGGATCAATCAAGCTGTTCAAGCAGTGCCATGAATACTGAAGCAGCAAGCTTACGTAGTACTCTCAGCGTGGAAGAGGAGGAGCATAGCGTGAACGAACAAAATTTGAACTTGGAAGTTAGTCAGATATTTAAAGGTATTCGATGGCATGTTATATCGATGATCAGTTACCAACAGGTTGTATGTCTGCTGATGCTTCATAAGTAACTGTGACTATAGACTATTGGGGGCGGTGAGCAGCGTGATTTTATTTGTTCATCCTACGTTGAATGTTGATGTTGGTTCATTGACTCTCACAGTGAGTCTGAAAATATTCTTCCAATTTTCCGGTATAACTTGCAGGAACGAGTACTAGTATGTTATCTAATCACACCTTGTTACTCTTCCTGTAGCTGATGGTGCAAAGCAGCATGCTTCTGCCAAAGGTGAAGAGTATGAGGAGGAGGAAGATGAAGAAGAGGAGGAGGAGGAAGAAGAAGAAGAAGAAGAAGATAATGATGAAAATGAGATGGATGATGATGGGATTTATGGTTACGAAGATCAGCTGAAATACTTCATGAGACAACTAGATGAGACTTCATGACCTCAAGATGTATCAATGTACATATTTTCTTGTATATATATGTTCTACTATTTGTATAAAAACATTACTACAAAACATGTATTTCACATTGTTATTATTATGTTTTACACTTCAACATCTCTACTAAATTACTTAAGATGAACGGGATTTTCCCCACTACTAACCCACACTCAAGGGGTGGATCCGGGGGGGGGGGCAACCCCTTTCCACGCAAAGTTCCCTTTTTGCAAAAGTTGCCTTGTTAAAAAAATTGTATGTTTTGCCGCTCGGCCTGTATCTGACAAGTATTTCACTCAGTCGGACCCGATAAATCCCTCGTTTTTCTTAGAATATATATATTGGTCGGGCCCAGGAGTCGGGCCATACCATGCGCAAATCCAAAACGGAAAATCTAGGTCCAAAACTAACCGCTGCCTTTCTTAAAATGATGTTAGCAATACAGTGACGGTGACATGCAGCATCACATCAACTTATGGACCGAAAACCCGTATATATGTGAAATTAATTAATTTAAAGAGTAAAAAAATTGTCTTTGCTACTTGCAATGCCTTTTTACAAACGTTGCACCCCCTCCTTCCTAAAATCCTGGATCCGCCCTTGCACTCATGTATATAAATGTGTATTTTTTAAAGTTCTTACTTCTTAGTTCTTTCAGAAGTTTTGTACGCTTATACTGTTAGACCGCGAGCCCAGGGGGGCCAGCCTAGCTGGAAAGGAAACCAATTTTCATATATATAGCAATGATTCACGTACATACCCATGTAAGGATATGGACGTCTGCCAGGCACCCTGTGGTGAGTGGGGTCATTTGAAAGGCGACCCAAAACCCCATGAAACCTATTTGAAAATGCTCGGCACGGTCCCATGCAGGTATCATGAATGGACACTCCCAGAATTTTCCAGCGGTGGTGCACATCGGACACACTTACATAAACACAGGTCTACTGATAAAAGTTTATTAGGGATATCTAAGCTGAGATACCCCCTAACCATTTTAAATGCATATTCATCACAAAATATAACTCCTCTGGTGAGATATTGCGCATGCGCTAACACATAACGTAGCCAGATTGTGTACTGGCTGGTATACGCAGCCGGGACCTTACATGCAAGGTATTCCTCCTATTTCTTAAATGATGTCTACAGATGGAAATTATAGAACAGGGTAATCATAGAAATTTATGCTAGGATAACTCCTCTTCATTTTAATTGCATAACCTTTGCAAAATACGATTGCTCTCGGGAGATATTGCGCATGCGCGTGCACCGTGTTAGGCGTGCAGTGCCGTCTGAGGAAAACTTCTTAATATAGCTTGCTTCAGGTGGGAGGAGATTGGAGACTGAGAAAAAGCGGCAGGGAATACGCAGCCGGGACCTTATATGCAAGGTCTTCCTCCTATTTCCTAAATGATGTCTACAGATGGAATGTTATCATATAAATCTATGCTAGGATAACTCTTCTTCATTTTAAATGCATAATCTTTGCAAAATACGATTTCTTTCGGGAGATATTGCGCATGCGCGCGCACCGTGTTAGGCGTTCAGTGCCGTCTGAGGCAAATGTCATAATATAGCTTGCTGCGGGGTGAGGGGATGGGAGACTGAAGAAATGCGGCAGGGAAGATAGCTGGGGGCGGTAGACGAAGAAGGAGGCTGAGCGAGGGACAGGGGAGGCAAGGGGAAGGACACGAGGGCATAAAGTTGGTGTTTTGTAACCTACATGCTAGCGCGCTCTCCTAATTATCAACACAGGTCTACTAATGAAAGTTTATTAGGGAAATCTATGCTGAGATACGCCCTAACCATCTTAAATGCATATTAATCACAAAATATAACTCGTCTGGTGAGGTATTGCGCGTGCGCTAACACACTAACGTAGCCAGATTGTGTACTGGCTGGTATACGCAGCCGGGAACTTACATGCAAGGTATTCCTCCTATTTCTTAAATGATGTCTACAGATGGAATGTTATCATATAAATCTATGCTAGGATAACTCCTCTTCATTTTAAATGCATAATCTTTGCAAATACGATTTCTCTCGGGAGATATTGCGCATGCGCGCGCACCGTGTTAGGCATTCAGTGCCGTCTGAGGCAAATGTCATAATCACTGGCGTAGCTAAGGGGAGGCACAAGGGGGCCATGGCCCCCCCTGTTGATTGGCAAACAAAATATATAAAAAAAATTTCCTTGCCTCACGCGTCTTTACAGGACTGGCCACAATTCCTCTCCTTACTTCTGCATGAACAATAACATTTTCTCTAAAATGAAGCTTTTGTCAAGTCTAAACTTCGTTCTAACAATGACCCAGGCCACGAGTTCTCTGCTCTCATTCTCCTTTCGTTGAAGCAGGAGTTATGAATGACCATTAATTCAACGAAATCACTCGAGAGAGAGAGGCGAGAGAGAGAGGTGGGAGGGAGAGAGAGAGAGGAGAGAGCACAGAGAGAGAGATAGAGGCTAGAGAGAGAGAGAGAGAGATGCGAGAGAGAGAGTGGGAGGGAGAGAGAGAGACGAGCAAAGAGAGAGAGATGGTAGAGATAGAGAGAGAAGAGAGAGAGAGAGAGAGAAGACGAGAAGAGAGAGACAGAGAGAGAGAGAGAGCGAGAGACGGGAGAGCGAGAGAGAGAGAGGTGGGAGGCGTAGAGAGAGAGAGAGCATAGAGAAGAGAGATAGAGATAGAGAGAGAGAGAGAGAGAGAGAGAGAGAGAGAGAGAGAGAGAGAGAGAGGAAGATGAGAGAGAGAGGGGTGGGGAGGAGAGAGAGAGAGAGAGCAAGAGAGAGAGATTAGAGAGAGATAGAGAGAGAGAGGAGGAACAAGAGAGAGAT